GAAGAAGATACGTACAGGGCAAATTAGCGATTAACTTCTGTGCCAACTTCAGCACAGATTCTCCCAATTCACGGCAGAGCAGCTGTCATGCACGGTTTCTAATGGTGAAAATCTTAGTTCTTTACCACTCACCACTTTCCAGCTAGGCACAGTAGCGAGTGCCCGTGATCCTAGCACCCAAGATGCTGAGGCAGGAGAATCGTTCTGAGTTCGAGCCTAAACTATGTAGTAAGACTTGTCTCAAAAAAACAAAAGGCTAACAACAACAACAACAAAAGGACATCTTAATTCATCACTGTACAAAGACCAAACAGAGAAGAAGTTCCCCAGACACTTGGCTTTCACGGTGTCCCTCATGAATACACACTCGACAGGTACAAACTGCATGACACGTGGTATTTTCACTAATCGTTTAGAACTTGCCACCAGTCTTTCGTGGGTCTGTCACCCCCACACGCAGGTCACAACCAACCTCCTGTGCCACCGTCTCTGCCCGCTCATTTCCCACCTTCCTGCCCTGCTCCAGGCTCTGCATTTGCCGGTGTGAGGCCTCAGTTTCTCCTCTGGATCTTCTTTCTTTCCAACAAATGAAGAGATAGAGTTTTCATCTTTTACATAATTACCAAAAAAAAAAAGTTTTAAAAATAACTAATTTTTAAAATAAAGTTTTAAAAATACTAGGATCAAATGTGCCAGACAGGATGCTAAGCACTTCACAGACCCTGCGCGGTACATTCTCTTCTTTAGTCTTCTTTTATGGGTGAGGAACCAGGCACAGAGACCTGAAGTGACTGGCCCAAAGGTCACACAGCTAGCAACAAACAAAATCTTTACCTACCCAAAGAACAAGTCGTAGCTGGCTGCAGCAGCAGCGAAAAATGATTTTAAGATTAGAAAATGTCACTATTAGTTCAATCACACCTGAAGGGTCCTAAGCTTTACTTCCCCATCCTGATGACACGTTTTCAAAAATCCGAATGGAACATTTGACAGATCTGACCGTGTCTCGGGCTTGTGAATGATTTTCCCTCTGGAAAGTTCCGGAGAAACCTGCAGAGAGGACAGGATCCATTTCCTTCTCCCATTCCACGCTTTCTACTGTACTGCACCTGAATTTTTCAGCTAAAAACAATGCACGTTTCTCCTTCAAAAAGCTCTTCCTGAGAACCACACCCAGTACAGCCCGGCCGGACAACGGATTAAAACATAGGAGGCTGGGACAGATTCCTGGGGCAGGTGAAGCTGCTGGAGCCCTCAGAAAAAGTCATTCATTGATTCATTCAACAAGCACTGACTGACAAGGGGATGGGGCCACAGGAGAGACAAAAGTTTCCAAAGGGCTCCCTGGGGTCAAATCCTGCAAGCTTCATACACACAGACAGAGAGACACAGACAGACAGACACACACAAGGTGGGGGTGTGGGGTTAAATGGTCTAAGCTAAAAACCACACATTCTTCCCATCTTCTTTGATCTTGTCTCCAGAGACAGCCCACACCGCTCACACGCTTGGCTAACAGCGTGGTCAGGGCTTTTGAAACAGTACCTGCAAGTAACTCCTGATTCTGTCTGCGGATTTTTTCGCACAGTCTTTTGGATAAACTGCTCCCTCCCTTGGTAACAGGTTATATCTATGTATTCGTTTATGTGGTTCTGGAATCAAGGGCAGACCTCCTGCACGCTAGGCACACTCTCTGCGGCTGAGCCACATGTGCCTCCCGCTTAATTTTGTCGTTCTTAGTTTTGAAGTAGGGTCTTGCGACATTGCCCAGGCTGGCCTCGAACTTGCAGTCCTCCTGAGCAGCTGAGAATACAGGTGGACAGCAAATGAATACGAAAAGAAACTGATCAGGCTTGACCATTTAGAGGGCAATAAACCTCAGGGTGTTAAAAGCCACAGAAGAGTTAAATGAAAGAAATGAAGAGAGTCCCCCTGACCACAGATGGAATTCTTGGCCTCCATGGCAACTGGTGATAGGAGCCTTTAAAAGTAACTTTATCATTCTTGGGAAGAAAGTCACTGCTTGGAGAAGCTTCCAGGGTAAAAATCTCTCCAATAAAAAGAACAAAATGGTCAGCATTACTCTTAGAAACTTGACAGAAGAATGTGTGTGTGGATTATGTGCCACGTAGGAAAAAAAAAGATAAAAAAGAAATAGAGAATAAGATATATCAAAAAAAGGCTTTCTAATCAACTAGAACCCTAGGCAAAAGTGCCAGACACTCAAAGTTCTAATAAGCAATATAAAAGATGCCAACAGATAACACAACTGATTCACCCAGCCTGATTAACCAAGTTAAATTCTCGGTGCAGGCAACTGAGGACCCTGGAACTGGTTACATCCGGGCTCTCTGCCTATATTCATATTGTCACCATCTGACACACGTTACTGAACGCAACTCTAAGCCAGTCCTCCCAAGTGCTACTCAGTTCCCACTTGACAAGAACCCCGAGCTCAGAAAGTTAAGTAACTTCTCTAAAGTTACTTAACAGTAGGCAGCAGAATTTGAACCCAGGCCATCCCAGTCCAATCATGGCTCCTAGCACCTCTTGGCGCAGCTCTTAGCGTCCCTGCCGCCTGGCTGTGTAGCCGTAAGGTGCAGTCTGACATCTGCCTCCAGTCCAAGAAGTGTTCCCCACCAGAAAGCATTCGGTAGCAAATGCCTTTAAGAGGTAACTTACTATCTCAGAGAAAGTAAAGTGCTAGGTTTGTAAGACTCCTATCTCCCAAGCCTTTCATCTGCTTCAAAGAAATGCAAAAACCACCATTCTGACCACAAGTTGTGTAAGTAGAGGAAGACACTCCCATAACCATGCCGAGTATTTTACTACACATAATACCAAGCATTGTGTGCAGGGCTGACGAACGAGCCCCAGCTGCAGGTGAGGCTTGTGCAGAGCAAACCAGGCCCCTCAGTACGTCCACCGAACTTCCCGACACGTTCTCCTCCTTAGCGGCTTTCTCTGGGAAAACTGAAGGACGATCTTGCTCTTCGCCGCTGCCCAGAGAAAGAACCGGACACATTCCTCTCAGGAAGCAAGTGGCTATCTCTGCTGTGTCCTGAACGCCCAGGCTTCGGAGATAAGGGATGGAGCTGAGCCGAGATGGCGAAGCCACACTCGCCACTTATAAATATTACAGGAAGCCTCTTCAAAAGCTGAGCCGCCTCAAGCTGCTCTGCTAGGAGCAAACGCCTCTTCAGCCCCCCGAGAGAAACGGTGTTTGCTGTAAGGCAGAAAGATGGGCGCAGGGTACAGCTCTGAGGAGCCTCTTCCTCCTCACCCTCCCCTTCCTCTACAGCTCCAGTGCCCCGGAAAGGTCCCGATCAAGCTGGGCAGGGGCAGCGTGGAGCCCACCCAGATCCTCAGCTGCCAAGTCCTGTGCCTTGCTGCTGAGAGAGAAACCCTCTCTAGTGCGAGCAACCAGCTCGTAACACAAAGCCCAAGTTAAGCACAGCGATCCCCTCATGGTCACCAAATGCAAGTCATCTGCAACCTGTCATCCCCTTTCCTTGGCCAATGGCACCAAGAGCATGGACCCCAAATGTGTTCCAGGCACAAAGCAGGAATTCACAGGAAGCTGCATCCTCTACACCTGCCAATCTACCCATCATCCTTCAGGGTCACTGAGACACCTCTCCCTTCTTCTCCACAGCCTGGACTGCATGCATCTCACCGACTCGGAAGCCTCCCCCATCACTCTCCAGTCATCAAACGTCTGGGAGCCCCTCCTATGTGTTGGGAACTGATGTAAAGAGTATAAAGGGGAATACTGCACAGCACTTGGCCTCCCAGTCCCCCAGTGGGGAAGAGAGACTTGTAGACCTAAAGAAAAGCAAGGCATGTCCAACTGCAGAGGTGGCGGTGACTGGGTCAGAAAGGTTTCCGTGTGCTGTGGCAGCTCAGCAAACTCTTAACAGAAGCAAAAGGACTTCAGGTGAAAAGAGTGGGGAGGAAAGAAGACAACAACGGCAAAGGCACAAGGATCTGAAGGAGGACGCTCTGGCCAGGCGGGGCCTGCTCTCGGTATGGTTGAACACACAGGGCTCAAGGATCAGGCTGTGGTCATATCAGAAATGCAACACGCCTTACGCCTAGGATCCTGGGCACTGCCGTTAGTAAAGGACCAGTAGACATGTTTCAAGAAGACGATCCAAACAGTCAGCCTGGAGAAGGGCTTCCTTTCACTTAAAGAGTTTTTCAAACACTGGAATTAGTTGGTAATATTTAAAAATAAAGAAATGCCCCATAATAATCTGGACTCTTGGCTCATTAAGAAAAGAAAATCTGGCCACGCCTGCTGACCACTGTCTGGGTTTGAGTAGCTCAGGCTGGAGCTGCACCACTGGTACAGACTCCCTTGATGAAGCTCACACCCACCCTCAAGGGCAAGGAACTGAGTTTGTGATCCTTGTTTTAAAAGATGGTAACAAGAAAACGGGTGCTGCGTGGAATAAACAGCCAACGAAATGAAGTGATTAAGCTGGTCACTCAGAATGGAGGTATGGCAGCAAGTCAGGAAGCGATCGCTGCAGCGCAAGAAAAAGTTAAGGAAGCATGAATTAAATTAGAATAAAGACCCAGAAATAGGCAAGGAGTCAAGGAATGTTTGCAAAACGCCAGGCACAAGCACTCTTATCACCATGTAACTTTTGTGTGTTGTGAGTTCTCCGACAAAGACTGTATGGAGAGAAAGGAAGACGGATTCAAAAATGACTTCCAATTTTGAAAGATGAAGGGCCATCAGGTGAACAGGTGATCCGCACAGCTGAGGACCCAGGGTCTCGTGGGATTCCGATCGCCGTCTCTCGCTCACTTTCTGAGTGGACCAGAACATGTTCTGACCGCAAACTTTCAGAGCTCCGGACAAGTGATTTTTACAAGCAGAGGGTGAGATCTAAAGCACTGCCGCCTCTTGGGGAGGACTGGCGGCTCCCGGGCAAACTCAGAAACCCTCCCAGCTCCTCGGGGCAGGCCGAGGGCCCCGCCCGAGAACTCACACAGGCCGCTGACATCCAGCATGTTGGAAATGCCCCGGTCACTCATGTCCACTTCCGGCTGGTTCTTCTCCCGGCTCTCCTCCACCAACTTTTTCAGAGACTTGGACATGTTCTGCAGCGAACGACAACAAAGCAGGTGGGCGATGGCAGGAGGTCAGGCAGGGGACCGAGAGCTAAGATCCCTCCAGCGGCCGCGCCCCAACTCTGCCCCGGCCAGGACGGCGGACAGGGGAGTGGGCAGGGACAGGAGGGATCCGGCCCGGTCTCGGCCGCGCAGAGAAGCAAACCCGGGAGCAGAGGCACCCACTCACCCAGCAGGGCAGTCGGGGGACTCGGCAGGACGCGCGGCAGGCAGGATTGTAATGTTATTGGTTGGTCAGGGTTTTGCCCCACCTCATGCCCATCTTGTAATTTTCCATTGGGTCTTACACCCGCGCCCCGCCCCGCCTGCGCGCGACACTTGCCAAATTAGGAGAACCGTTTATTGCAAGAATCTGGAGGGAGAGCCTCCGCCCATAAAAGAATGTGAACCCCGAGGCCAGCCAATCACGTACCTCATTCGGCTCCCGAGTTTCTGTCCCACCACGAGGTTAGCCCCTCGCTCCCGGGCGTAAGAAGCTGATTAGACATATAGACGCTTGCGCAGTAGGATAAGCGCATGCTCAGTTAATTGATCGAAGGTTAATCTATTAAGGGCGGAAGTAGGGAAGTTTGGAGCTCCTGGGCCCGGAAAGAGGTTGCAGTTGAGGGTGGGTCTTGGGAAATCTAGTAAATGAACCTCGGTGCTCTGCTTCTGTACTGCAGAAGTTACTTTCTTAGTCACTTCTGTGCAATTTTGTCCTTGCCTAGGAAGGAACCCTATACAATGAGCTACTAAGAGTTCAAAAGTCAGTCTGTTCTCTGTATCTGTAGATCCATCTCAAAATCGCACTTTTGAAACTGCTGGCTTTTTTGCACCAGATCTTTGGTCTTGAGGCCCTGGAATCCCCCCTCAGAATTAGAAGCTACAATTAAAATCAAACCACTTAAAAAGCCATAGTTGATTTTTGTATCTGTGAAACATGAAATTATAGCTCCCAGAAATCTCCAATTTCCTTTTCAAAAGGCAACCAAAGATTGAATTCTGGCAAAACTGGGCTCTGTTTTGCTATTTCCTGAGGCAGTTGCAGTCGCATCACCCAAGTAATAGGAATTTTGTCCTCTCAACTTGTGCCTAGAGACAATTATGTACCATGAAATAGGATAGACAGAAAGGCGGTCCTTCTTCTGGTATCTGGAAGGAGAGGTAGATTGACAGACAGATACAGAGAGGTTGACAGACGGACACAGAGACACACACATATGCAAGCTCTGAACCAGCTAGGTAAAAGACCAGTACACTTGAATGTGAAATGTGAGATTTCTTGTTTAAGGAACATTCCAAATGAAGATATCATGCTTACATTAGTCTTCTTTAATCTGCAACAGTTCCTCAGCTGTCTTAATCCTTGAGCTGGGTATTATCTATGTGTACAGGCCAGATGTTTTGTAGAAAGGTCTTCAAAGAGGGTTTGTCTGAGGTTTTCTTGTGATAAATTTAGGTTATGAAATTTGGAGAAATACCACTGAAACAATAGGCCTTTTTCTGTGAACCCAAGGTAGAGCTGACATATTTTTTCCCACCGAGATCAGTGATGTGAGTTCTGATTGCTTGATTGAGGAGGTACCTGACAGGTTTTTTTCACCATAAAGTTGCTATTTTTCCTTTCATGATTAAAAGCAGTATGTGGGGAAGATACTACATGATGGTGTAAAAGTTCCTTTTCTGACCTTTTTCTTATTATTAGCATTCGTTTATGGTTTTCTAATTTCATCACCTCATTTCTATTTACTAGTTGACACTCCATTATACATCCGTTTCTTGAATCATTCGCATTTTTAAAGCAGAAATGCTTTCCTCCTTTAACTTTGAGTGTCGGGTAGTTTGTCTTGAAGTCAGAAACTGTGAGCCCCCCTGCACGGATAACTTTTTAACACGAACACAGGAGCAAATAGTGGCTCTTAATGATGCTGGCAGCTCGGCGAGTGACTCCTGTCAGTCTCGAGAGCCCTGAACAGAAGTTCACACTTCCTTCTATGCCTGTTTTTACATCTGTGAGGCTTAATTTCACTGGGGTTTCCCTGGGAATAGAGCAAGCAGGATTGGCACAAAACAGAGCAGTAAAAAGGGGGAGCACAAAGGGTTCTGTCAGCACTTTCTGCCTCCATTATGCCCCTTTGGCTACAGATTACAGAAGTCGTCATGGTTACTCAGGTACGTTCTACAAAGAGCACAGTCACCTACTTTAACCCACAGTTGCCTGATAACACAAGTTAACTGATAGTTGTCCAATTCCACCTGGACGGGTGGTCTCCCCTGGTTCAGGAAGGAGAAAGGTAATTAAGACATTTATTTAGTTCTTTCCTACTTTATGTTCCTCGGATCCTTCCTGTGATTAACTGATCGTAGTTGTCCTGTTATGTTTGAGTTGAAGACCTGAACTGATTTTCCGTGGTAATTAGAGTGGATTCTTTCTTCCCTGTTTATGAGCGTTTGTGGACCTCTGGGGTCAACACTTGGTTTCCCTGTTGCTGTTCTTTTGGGGGCAGAACACAGTTTCCTGCGGAAGATGGTGGAGGTGATGCCAGCTAACACAGTTCTATTACTTCCCTCCCACCTTCTCATTCCACACCTGCCAGCCCCACACACAGACAGCATCCGGAACAGCAATTCCCAGCCCTGCTGCCTTTCCCTCTGCAAGTTATTCTGGGTAGCAATTTCTTTCTGTTTCATTTGTCAGCAGACTCCCGTTCAGTTCCCAAATTTTCTAGAAAGGCGTCTTTTCTTCTGTCTGAAATAGAAAAAAAAAAATCAAACTGCTTTTGCCTCTCGTGATACAGGACCTCCAATGATACAGGGGAAATAATATAACTCTCAACCTGCTAGATGCCAGATATGCCCAGCTCGTGTTCCTCAAAATCAAAGAATGAGTTCTAAGGAACAGCAGAGGTGAAGGGCAGAAAGTATTTATTGAGCGAGTGGGAGAGATTTAAGCTCCTGAGAGGAAGGGGAGGGGTCTTGAGTGGGTCGGTAGGGATCCCTCTTCCCAGAGGAAGTTTTGTAGGGCCAGGTCACAAGATGGGCAAGGCAGGACAAAGCTATGGTCAACCAATAAGATTACAAGTATGGCTGCTTAGGTAACACTGATCCAATGGGGAAGCAGGTCACTCACAGCAAGCGTACCCAGAAAGAACAAAGAACTTCAGGAGAAGATGGGTCTGAAGGTCTTGGTCACCCATCGGGGTGACTGATGTCTCTCTGGACGTCATTAGACCAGGTGTTACCGCTTATCTTGTCCCTCGGGAAGTGTGCAGGCCTGGTCATTTCGTCTTTATCTTGAGGCTGGGCCTCCAGCAGATGCACCTCTGGCCACAGTTGCGATGTGTCTTCATCTTCCGCACTGACTCTCTGAAGGGCCCGGCCCTGTCTGACTTCCTAGAACATCTACCTGGCTGTCTGTAATACTCACACACTCAGTACTCAGCACTTCGGACACCAGATGTGCGTGTGTGGTGTCCCTTGCATGCCAAGCAATCCAGCAGACACCCGCTTCCTGTCCTACAGTGCATCTCGATTCTGACACTATCCACCTGCAGTTTAAAGTCAGATCCCATGGGAAAGGGCTCGGTCCCACAAGACCACCCACCCTTCCACAGCAGGCGCAAGCACTTAGTGGGCTGTCACCTGCACTTCTGATGACCTGCTATAAATGGAGTTCTCCTGCCCTCTTCCTCTAGTTCAGTTCATTTGCTAAGATGCTTCACGGAACTCAGAGAAACCCATTGGTTACTTTGCTGTATCAGTAAAGGATGTAATGAAGGACGCATATGAACAGGGAGATGAAGAGGTACATGGGACAAAGCTTGGGGGCCCTGAGTGCAGGCTGGAGTTGGGGGTCCACCACTGCTGCATGTGGACATGTTCACCACCAAGGAAGTTCTCTGAACCTTACACTTCACTTACACCACAGACATGGTCAATTAAAGTGCAACATCCAGCCCCTCTCCCTTTGCTGGGGGACACAGGGTGGGATTGGACACCCCAGGCTTCTTCTAACCGTAGCTTGGTCTTTCTGGTGACCAGTCTCCACCCAGGAATCCACCAAGAGCCACCTCATTACAACTAAAGGAGCTCTTATCACCCAGGAGATCCTGAGAGATGAGGAGCTCTGTGTCAGGAACTGAGGTCAAAGACCAAATAGCAGAACATGCACCCAGCACCTCAGCACTCAGAAAACTGCAAGGGTTTTAGGAGCTCCATGCTAGGAATGCAGGAGAGACACAGATATTATTTCTTCTTATGTCACAATCTCATAATTCCCTGGTCCCCTTGCTCTTATTCTCCACTTTTTTCCAATATAATTATCTTTTATCAGTGTGTATTTGCAATACATAACAGTTACACTTGTTTTGAGAAATTGGTATACACACAAACACATGCAAACATAAGGACATGTATATGACATAAGACACAGATATATAAATATATTTATGATGCCCATTTTGAGTAAAAATTTTTTTCAGGACCAGGAATCGAATTGAGGACCTTACACACTTGCAAGGCAAGTATGGAGCCACTGAACTAAATCCCGTCTCTTGAATATAATTCTTAAAGAAATGTATCCCAAAGTTCCCAGTCTGAATAACACAGAAAGCAGGGCCAGCTTCCTGGGTAGGTGACCTGTGCTACTCCACAGATTTCTAGGCCCCAGTGACCCCCTCCACTTGGTTTAATGCATTGCTGTCACCATTTTGAAGTGTTTAAGAATTTCTGACAGAATTTCTCATCAATATACATTACAAGTGTTAGCTGATTTCTAGTGGTTTATCAAATTCCAAATACTCTTGGGGATTTTCCTTGAAATGAATTAGCTAGTTAAAAATAACTTCTGGCTTCCACCTAAAGAGTTTTTCTAGAGTTTTGATTGGTGGTAGAAATGGAATTTTTTTTTTATCCTTTTAGCCAATAATTTAGCACTATAAGATAACAGATCTTTCACTTTTCCTGAAAATCTGTCCAGAGGAAATAATTCACAACACAGTGTGCAAAGTTGGGAGAAACTGGGTGAAGCATGCACATGACCTTCTGTAGTGCAAGACCTTTCAACCTGGTGTGAATCTATGTTATTTTAAAATAAAAAGTTTTTAAAATTATGCATAAAGGATTCACTGAATGCTCATCTATTTTAGTGGGTTGAGAACGAAGCAAATACATGAAAAGAGGAAGTTGTTCAGTAAAATACAAATAATAATGTACCTATTGTATGATTTTTAAAGTATAATTGACAAAAAAATTTTTTTAAAAAGACAGAAAGAAAAAAAAAAAGGCCGGGCGTGGTGGCACACACCTGTAATCCCAGCACTCAGGAGGCTGAGGCAGGAGGATCGCTGTGAGTTCAAGACTAGCCTGGGCTACAAAGTACGTCCAGGTCAGTCTCAACAACATAGTAAGACCCTGTCTCAACCCCCCCACACACACAAAAAAAGTATACTTGAGAATACTAGGAGCATGAAAAATTATTTCAATATAATAAATGTAATATATATTACATTTTGTGCAGTA